CTCTCATAGTCCTCAGAGTGAGGGGCTGGCTCTGCTGCTCCTGAGCAGCCTCTAACGGGTCCCCAGGAACCCCAAAGACCCCAGGTCCTCTAGTGATCCTGGGACTGCAGCCCTCACCCAGCTCTTCTCCAAGAAATGGGGAGATTCCTGCTTCTGTAGATGTTCCAGGTGCATCGACCTGGCAGGGATCTTTTAGCTCCCTCTACTGATGAGAAAACGGAGGCACAGAGAGGGACAGTTTCTTAGCTAAGGCACACAGCAACTTGGTGTAAAGACGGTGTCCTGGGACTTACAAGTACCAGGCAGAGACCTGGGAGGATCAGCCTTCTGGACTCGGGGTGGAGCCAGCCTGGAACTGGAGGGTGGGGTTTTGGGAAATTTGAGTTGTTAAACCTCAAACTCTCCCCATCCAGGTGCCTGGAGCTCAGCCCGAAGGGGAGATACCAGTAAGGGGCAGCAGAGACCAGCAGTAGAGGAGGCCTGAGCTGGATGGCGGGAGCTCTTTAGGAAGAGGTGGCAGGAGATGTGGGGAAGGCTGCAGTGGTGGAGGCAGGAGGAGGGATGCTGGGGCTGGATCTGATTCTGCATCTTTGTCGGCACCCACCTCACCTCTTAGCACAGCTGGGACGGGGGTGGGGGGGAGGCAGGCCAGTGAGGTGAGTCAGATCCTGATGTTTTGTTCATCGTGTGTTTTTCTGCATTAATTTTGATTTTTAAAAATATTGCATTAAATGTTATTTCTCTTCATTATTGAGTTTCTGGATGATCCTCTAAATTTTGCATTCGAGATGAATGACTTACTTGCCTCACCTTAGCCCTGGCTCTTCCTGGAACTTCGGAAAACCTGTTTCCTCTAGCGCAGGTGAACCACCCTCTGCAGGGTCCCCACCCAGGGAGGCTGGGCCACTGGAGTGGGTGTGAACAGCGCCCAGAAGCTCCTGCCTCACCTGACCAAGTGAGTTTACATTTGCACAGCTGAAGCCTGTTTTCCAGGTCCTTCCCAAAGTCTTGCATCCATACCTGGGAGGGGTACACTCCCATCATGAGGAGACAGAGGCTCAGAGGTCCTGTCATGGATGGTGGTGGATCTAGCAGCCAGAGTTCCTTAGACTGTGCCACCAGTAACAATCAGTCCTGTCCTCATTATGGACTCAGAGGGTCTTTAGTGGGGTGGTCCGGTGTGCCTTATCACATTATAGGAAGTGCTCCTTCCTGATGGCTAAGAAGAGTAATGCAATTTATAATTGGTTCTTATTTCATTATTCTTAAACGCCGAACACCTGGACTTCCTCACATTTATTTACAACTGTACATGGCATATGATAGCAGCTATTGCATTTCACATTGCAAGTTAAATAATGACAAATAGCCCATTGACTTGC